AGGACGTCCGTATCCAAGGGCGGCGCACCTGACTGATTTGGGATCTGACGCCTGACAGCCGCACTTCAAACGGCCTCCTGCCACCACCACCTGCCACCGTCGTCACCAGCYGTAGAGACGGCTCCGACAAAAGGAGCAGTGGCGGTTCTGTCCGGCCAGAGGGGATGACATCCGAATTGGCAGGAGCTCAGAGATAATCATGCCCGATCTGACATATCTTGCCTTTGAAGGATTCTAACTTGAGCTTCGGAGCCCTTACGCCGGGTTCTCCCCTGAGTTTCTTCACCCCCTCCGTTTCCGGTCCCCTGCCACTCAGTTCAGAGGCAAGATCGTTGACAGCTAAGACCGACCGGATTGTGCATCATCACCTACCAAACCACTTGCCTGTGATGACCTAGCTAATTAAATTATTGAACCATTTGACATGGTTAGTCGAGTCATGTGTTAGACATTAATGCTCTTTATTTTTTATCCTAATTTTTATCTCATTTCTATCATTAATGAAAATAATTCTCATTAATCGCACTTTTTTATATAATGAATATATAATATTATAGAATGTACCCAAAATTATCAACAAATTTCTATATTTTCTAGAAATATAGAAATTTGTTAGACCAAACCACTTTTTTTATTTTATGTATTTTATTATTTAACAATAACATCCATTTGACATGGATAGTTTAACCACAAACCCACCACTTGGATGGCAAAACCATTTTGCTTTTTTGGTTGACTTTAAATCACGTATTCCATTTACATCATCGATAAAAGTAATTCTTATTTTCACATTTATTTTTGTTTAATATGGTGAATATATAACAATAGAATTGTATCAAAATGTTTTATATAAAGCTTATATTTTTCTTTGCGTTTATATATATGTATGTATGTATGCATTTAATATTCGTTACTTTTTTATGTATATTTGATGTCCATCAAATATGGACACCCCCTAGATAGGAAGATGGTTTAATTTCCCATTGGTTTTAAGTTGTATATTTGATGTCCATCATTAATAAAATTATGTCTATTTTATCATAGTTATTTTTTAATATGACAAATATATAATAATAGAAACGTGTCCAATTTTTTTTTCAAAATTTCTTTTTTTTCTATACTTTTTTGTATTTTTATATTTCTAAATTTGTATTATTTATTCATGACATTATGAAATTATCCATTTGACCCAAATGGTTGAAGTGCTTACCCACGACCTAGATGAAAAGTATGATTTCATTTCTAGGTTTATTTTAAAAATATAAAATTTCATTATATTAGTAATTATTGTATATGGATTTATTAGTGGAATTTAATGATGATAAACAAAAGTATTTTTTTTTTATTTCTAAATTTGTATTATTTATTTATGACATCCTGAAATTATCCATTTAACCCAAGTGGTTGAACTACTTACCCACCACCTAGATGAAAAATATAATTTCATTTCTACATTTATTTTAAAAATATAAAATTTCATTCTATTAATAATTATTGCGTATGGATTTATTAGTGTAATTTAATGATGATAAACAAAAGTATAAATGTTGGATTCAATGAAAGAGAATGTGATTTATTTAATGGCTTAAATGTGAGACTTAATAAGAGGTAATTGACTGTACTTAATGGTACTCTTTTAATTACATTTTTTGCCCTTTCAATGGAGATGAAATAAATTCAAGAGAATGGATATTTTAGTAAAGAAAAATTATAGAAGCCAATACCTCATCATTCACACTTTTATAAGTAGTATAGATATATATGTATGTATGTATGTATAAATATATATTTTAGTAATAAATAATGTATACATATGTTTTATATATGTTATATGTATTATTTTATATTTAATTTATGTTTTTAATTCAGTTTTTAATTTTTTTTTATTTATAAAAAAATTCAAAATTGCTATTTGAGGCAAAAAAATGGGTTTTCTTTTGCAAAAATAGTGGGACAAGGCACATATGTCCCATTGGGATGTATAGATTTTGAAAATTTACCCAAAATAAAAACAATCACCTTAACTGGACATCGAAGTGCAAAGTTATGGCCTTCGAAAGTTTTGCATGCATTAAGTGTGCAACCCGCAACTCGATCACTGGATCGAACGGGTCAACGGTCGAACTGGCTGGGTTGAATAGTTCTTGACCAAGTCAACGGTTTTTGACCATCTGATGGGTCTTGATGGAACTGGACCCGGAATCCTGTCCGGGTGATGGTTCGATTGGCTAGGTCAATGGTGGGTTGAAAGCATTGGCTCCATCCAATCCAAAGTGAATGAATAAAAGTACTTTTGTGAAAGTGCTTTTGTAAAAAGTACTTTTTGTAAAAGTACTTTCATAAAAGTTCTTTATGAAAAGTGCTTTTGTAAAAGTACTTTTATAAAAGTACTTTATTTTTGTAAAAGTAATTTTCATAAAATTACTTTTATAAAAGTACTTTTGCAAAAGTGCTTTTGTAAAATTGCTTTTGTAAAAGTAATTTACTTTTATAGAAGTGCTTTTATAAAAATACTTTCACAAACGTGTTTTTATGTCATTTTTAGTTTTGATTGGCTTCAAATTGAACAAGGGTTTGGTCTCATGATCGGATTATTGGGAATTTGGTTTAGGTACAATTCAAACTGATAAGAATATGGACCAATTTATTTTAGATTGGCCCAATTCAATAATTATAACGGACCATCCAAATTCGAGTTGATAAGGTTTGGATCGGATTGGATCAAATCCAAAACCGATCCATTGGCACCCCTACATAAAGGTGTATCAATATTTTGAACCATGCTTTTTTTAGTGTAAATTGTTGAAACCTCCCTTGAAGTTTAGTAATTGCAATTACCTCCCTTGAACTTTCTAATACAGTTGCAAGTAGACACCTCTCGTAGAATTTTATAGAAAAAGGTATAAAATATCCAAAATACCCACACAAGTATTATTGAGGTTGGTTTCTACCGAAAAAGCAATATAAACTTTATGAATAACAAAAATAAAGAAGAGCTAATTTTAAAAAATAAATCAATTTTAGAAAAGAGATTAGAAGGATTTAGGGTAATGATTTATATGAAGATAAAATTTGAAAAATACATTTTTATTAGAAATAAATGTATGGATATTTCGGACATTTTCATGTCTCTTAAGAAGATTTTATCGGTAGAGATCTACTTACAACAACCAATAATTTAACGGAGGTTTCAGCAATTTACACATTTTTTATAGAAGCGGGAAGAGAAACGATTCTGTTATATTACCACCGGTTTGTCCCGCCCGAACCAGACTCCGGACCAGGCCTTTTGCTTTATTGCTTTTTACTTTATACTTTTACTTTTTCGATATTCACGCTTATTTTATTGTTATTATGCTGCTTTGTCTTAAACCAGAACCAGAAGACTCCGGACCACGCCACTCTTCTCACTCTCACCTTTCGTGTTCTTCATCCATTTGGGTTTATCAATCTTCCCCTGAATCTCCAAAAGTCTTAAGTGGAGACCTTCAAGTCGACTTTCGTTACTCCCGGAGCTTTCATTTGGTGCGGTTTCTGTTGGTTCTGACGCTAATGGTCGAAATTAGTGTTTTTACGTCCAAAGACCACCGAATTGGGGGATTTCAGACCGAAATACCGGCCACTGAGGAGAGAGGTATTAACCCATTTTCCTTTTTTATTTTTTTTCGGAATCTTCTGTATCACTTCTTTCTTTTCTTCGCATAGATTAGCTGAGAACACAAATTAGTGAAAGATATTTAATTTATTTTCGTTGAAAATGGTTCAAAAAATGGAATTGTGTAAATTCGAGTTTTGTTTGGTACTCTGTAGACTTTATAGTTTGTTAGCTTTAGATATCTTGTATGGAGTGATTAAGTGGACATTTTAACATACGTTTGTTAAAATTCTGCTTCTTACTCTCATTAAACATTGAGATGTTCAATTTCCGAGATCATTTGGGGTTGAAATTATGAAATTTGTAATTTTATAAATTGGATGTTTTGTTGGATTTTTGTCGTATTAAGTGGAATCTCTTGTACATGTACTGGTGAGCAAATTCTTGGGTTTGTGGAAATTTAAGCCAAGTCCTTCGGTTCTCCGTTTTAGTTTTGTTTAACTTGAAGATTGGGTGGGAGTTTTAAGGGAACGGCGGAGGGGGAGGGATCTGAAGTAGCTCTCACTTGCCAGGTGCATGGACTCAAATGGGTTCCACGGGCGTATGCGCAGGTGGGCCAAAAGGAGAGAGCTAGTTGAATAAATGCACTAGATATTTTTGGCCTACAAAGGACCCTTTTGGATCCAATGCAGGGATCCAGTTGATATACATAATATCTTATCGGAATTCCAGGGTCAATAGAGCATCTAAAACCTAAGAGCAGTGGTTGTGCTATGGTGCCATGTATGCATGGTCACATGCTGTTAAGTCAGACAAAGACCAAATCTAAATGCTCGTCATATATCTGGTGCTAGCATTATCGAGAATTGGGTTTAGTCCTGGTGACACTTGATACTTGTAATGCCACACTTATTCTAGCATGCTTATAATACTCCAAGCTAAAGTTAGAGACTTTTTGACTTGATATTTTCTTTGGTATTCTTATTTTTAATATCTTTGTATTTTATTTATGTTTCACTTGGTTAATGCTTGCTTATTTAAAGTAATATGCATTTATATAAAACTAACATTTGTGGTTGTCGCATTTATTATTTAAAATTGTATTTATTGTTATGGTTTGGTCATTCTTCATAGAATATCATTTACAACATTTGTTAGAAAAAGTGATCTGGGCTAGAAGAGCTAGGGGCAGAGTGAAAAGGACTTGGGTGGAAGTAATATGAAATGATCAAGTGCCCATTATTTAACAATGGATATGGCACTGAACAGAATGGAGTGGCAAAACAAGATTCATGTAGCCAACCCCATGTAGTTGGGACAAGACTTAGAGGATGATGATATACCCATATAATAATTGTTTTAATATATATACCCATATAATAATTGTTTTAATACCTTATATTTGTCTCTGCCATTTTTATTAAAAGAAACTTGGTTTTGGTGTGAAATTTCTTTCCTCTTGGAAATATTCTTAATTTGCCTTAAGTTTACAGGAACTCACAAAACATTGTAAATTCAGAAAAATGTTTTCATAACTCAAGTGATGGTGACTTAGCTCAAATCAAGGGCATTTTGTCAATAAATCTGGATAAAGAACAAAATAACAGGAACTTTATTGACTGCAGTGCCCTTTCTTTCTTATATTTTTCCAAGTCGTCTTGCTGTAAAATCCTTTTGGGCTTAGCGATCGCCATTTGATGGATAGTAACCATGGACATGTGAGAACAATGCTATAAATCTAGGACAAACTTTATAAAATGTTAGAACAAGCATGAAGGAACAATTGGGATCACTGTGTAACCAAATAACTGATTCAAATAAGTACTGGTTGGAGGAATTGAAAATTACATATCAAAGTTTCACTAAAACCTTTTAAAAGATGTTTTCCTTATTGTGGAGGTAATGATCTTAGTACTTGAACCTTAAACTCAGTGTGATATTTCTCGTGTTCTTCCTTTTATTAGAAGTCTTGACAGCTCCCCTCCAAAGATCAAAGCATCCATTTGGGGAGTTGGTTTGAACATTAGTTATCACTGATGAGATGCTTTAACTGAGATGGAAAGCTTGGTTTCTCTCCTCTCATTTGTGCATCCTAGCCTCAATAACAATGAGGATGCCAACCCCTATTCTTTTCTTGTGTTTTTGTTAAGACTATATGGAACCAGATTTCTCCCTATTGGTGCCTTTTGGGTACAGCTAAATGACATTGAAAATTTATTAAAAAAATGATTTCCTACATTCACATTAGGAGAGGGAAATCATGTGGAGTTGCACTAGAGTTGCTAATGCAGGGGCTGAAGAGTCAAATTTGTAATTTTCTGTATTTTTGTATATTTGGACGGTATGGGTATTTTCGTCATTTTAACTAGTCCTGTGGGGGCTTGGGTTATAACATCTTGTTCCTCTAGTTTAGTAGGGATTGTCTTTCAATTTTTAGTTTGTTTGCATTAGTAGATAGAAAGTTATTGTGTTTCTTGATGCACAAGACAAGGAGTGGCATTTTTGTAATTATGGTGAACAGTATTCCGGGCCACACAAGTCACTCTATAAATAGATGTATTCTCTTCCTTCTAAAGCTAATGAATGAATGAATGAAGATTTCTTTAGAGCTCTCTTGCTGTATGGAGTGATTCCTACAAACCCTAGAGTGGTTCTAGGACCCTTGGAGTGATTCCTTGGGATTTCTCTCTCTTTTCTCTTTCTCTACCCTTTCTACTCTCTCTCTCTCTCTCTCTCCTTCTGCCTTGTGTTAGTTTGTTCCAGCTCTATTGCATCAATTAGCATGCGGAATCTAGGGCTATCAAGTATTGGAGGGAGTTTTCAGGAATGGGGAAGGGAATGTTTTAGCCATTTACTCAGGTCTAATTGGAGAAGGTGACTCTCTCAGGGCTGAGATCTTTGTGGCCTTGGAAGGAATCCAAAGAGCAAGAGAATTGAATATTAGGATGCTGGTAATTGAAGGTGACTCGGAGGTGATGGTGAGATGGTTAAAGGAAGACAAGACTGGAATGTATGGCTGGCTAAGGACATTGATTTTTTTTTTTTTTTTTTTTGCATACAAAACTGCCAAACCAGCAGCTTTTAGCATAGTTGCAGTCACAAAGGGTATGAAAGATTGTGTCTGGACAAATGGACAAACTTTACAAATGGGACACAAAGGGATATCAACAACACCTTTTTGCATACAAATTTTGATTAATTGAGATGGCATTCCAGATTATTGATCAAAAAATGAGATGGCATTCCAGATACACTTCCAGACAAAAGTCGTTTTTGGCTCAAAAGGAATGGACCACAGAAGCTTCCATTGCCTTTTATTAAGCTGTGCTGTGTGTTTTCTTGTCTTCATTAACCATGGATATAGCTATAAAATAAGCAGAGCAAACCAAGAAACATTCCATAGAGTTTGGGCCCAAGTAACTTCATTCTCCCATCTACCCATAGCAAACTTGATTAAAAGAACTTTTCTTAAGAGTAAAGTTTTGTAAAGTGCTTTTAACAACATCCTGATTCCATGTTTGATCATTTTCATTTATGAGATCCTTCAAACGAGTTGGATATCCCGGCCCCAATCTACAATCCATAATTTTGAAACCCTCAACCATTGGAATCCATGGATCTTCCCATAAGCTGATAGAAGAACAAACATTTATGGGCTAACAAGCATCTCTAATGATGCAGGAAATGTTCAATGAATTCTATGGGAGAGAAATAATAAATCCAGGTCTGAAATCAACTTTTATTTCTTTGGTGCCTAAGAAATCTGATGCAGTCCATCATTGAGAGTTTAGGCCCATAAGCTTGGTGAATAGTTTGTATAAAATAAAATAATTGCTAAGGTTCTCTCTTTTAGGATTGAGGTAGCTCTCCCTTTCATTATTTCACATAATCAAGGTGCCTTTGTGAAGAATAGGCAAATCACTTATCAATTCCAATTACACATTTGCAATTTGTAGATGACACAATTTTATTTTGTGAGGGAGGGAATAGAAGGTGGGCCAGGAACATCAAGTTAGTAGTACTTTTGAACAAGTCTCAAATATAAAAGTCAATTTTGATAAAAGTTGTATTGTGAGTATTAATGTAGAAGAGAGGGAGATGTTAGAATATTCTAACATTTTCGGTTGTGAGGTGTCTCAATGGCCATTGAAATACTTTGGTCTATCTTAGGGGGACTGTTATGGACGCATTCCTCGAGAAGACGTACCGTCGCCACCGGCAGCAACAGACACCTGATCCACCGCCAGCAGCAACAGTGATTCAATGATTCTCATCCTACCCAGTTCGGCAACAACAGCCTTATCTAGATTAGATTAGATCATCTTGCTTGTTCTTATCTTATTGTTCTTATCTTATTCTATTGCTCTTATCTTATCTTGTTGGTAGCTTATCAGATTAGGATTAGTTTG